GCTACCAGGGGTTTAGGGTTTAGGGTTTAGGGTTCAGGGGTTTGGGTTTAGGGTTTAGGGTTTAGGGAATTCGTGCGATCAGTTTGGGGGCTCGGGGCTGAGGATTTCGATTTTTGTGAATCTTCCAGAAGCTCTGGGTCGGAGCCTCTATCGATGGTTTAACGGTTTAGGGGTTAGGGTTTCGGGTTTAGGGTTTAGGGTTCAGGGCTTTAGGGGTTTAGGGGTTTAGGGGTTTAGGGTTTAGGTTTAGGGGCCTTAATAATTAGAGTAGGGTTTGGGGCTATATCATACTACAATTATAATAACAAGCCACCAAGCCCTTTTCTAATGATTAAGGCTCCGACATAATTAGATCAAAGCATTGAAAGCCCCCTGCAGGATGGGTTCCTTTCGCGGGAGGAGCTGCTGCTGGAGGCTCAGGTAAAGCTCGGCTTCTGATTTCCCTAAGGCTCCATGTGCCTGTAGAGTAGACAAGTATATACTTACTATAACAGTTGTTTTTAACAAGGTCATGGGAGTTTCATAGGGCCCCTAAACCCCAAACCCTAAACCGATTGACAATGCTTTAGGTCTCTTTATTGTCATGGTTACTGTGCGCTGTTCCACGGTGTTGCTTCTTTCATTCTCCAATGCCAACACCCATCCTGTAAGCTGCTTGTTTTCTTTTTCCAGTTAGGTCTTCCCATAGGCCCCATAGTAGTTCCTTTTTGGGATTACCTTATTGTAGGATTCGAAATATGAACCCCAAAAGGGACCTACGGGTTCCTCTGAGTGGCAAAACGGGGTTAGGATTGCGGGTTCAAGACGCCGCAGTTTGGACTTTCGCGTTCAACCGTGGCTCCGCAGAGCAAACTCAACGGTTCAGCGTCCTCAATGTTTTTATAGCACCCCCTGGAAACCCTTAACCACTCAAACCCTGTAAGCCCTGTAAACAATCAAAACCAAGCACTACCTGTTCCTAAACCCGAAACCCTAAACCTTTAAGCCGTTACAAAACCCCTACATTCTGATCCCTTAAACTCTGAAGCCCTGTAGATCAGACCCTGCGAGCCCTCAACACCCTAAACCCTCGAACCCCAAACCCAGACCACACCTTAAGACCACGGAGCCAACTCCCAATGATCCGAACCGCCGGCGGTTCAGGGTTCAGGGTTTGGGTTTAATGTAGGGGCCTTAACAATTAGAATGAGGTTTGGGGTTCCTTTATAGTATAACAAAAATATACGGAACCCTCAGAATATTAATTTCGGTAAGTGTTTCGACTTCTAGATTAGGGCTTAGCCTTTGCTGCAAGGTCCAAGTACATACTCCCAAGCCCTCCATCCATCTACTCTCGTTTAGACGCCACCCTAAACCCTAAAGCCTCACAGCCCTGCACTCTAAACTTGACATTGAGGCAGCTCTAGAGTGGCGGAGGCTGCGGCCTCCATTATTTGGCATCTGCGGCTCCAGAATCCGATGCAGCTTTAGCCGATGATCTGCCCTAAACCCTAAACCCTAAACCCTAAACCCTAAACCCTAAACCCTAAACCCTAAACCCTAAACCCTATGAGGATATTTCGGGCGATGAGGAGCTGCTTCGAGAGGCGAGGCAACAGGGCAAGGCCAAGAAGGGCAGGGCCACAACAACGGTTTAGGGTTCAGGGTTTAGGGTTTAGTGTTTAGCCAGAGTTGGGTGTCTTCTGTTAATCTTGACGAGGATGATATCTCCTAGAACACATCGGCCAGTCAGCATGTGCTGCATGCTCGTTCGCAACCGGGCTAGAAAGAACATCAGGGCCTTCAAAACCCATGATTTGGGACCATAGACCCCTGTTCGATGGTATACGGTCGGAATTGAGAAACCCTGGCCGCATGAACCCTAGAGCCCTAGAGCCCTTAACCTATAGAGGGCATCAGGAAGTTCTGGATCTCCATTTCTAGCACTTCGGGTCCTCTGGGAGAGCCGTAGAGCCCTACTTGGAGGGTCGGTTTAGGGTTTAGGGTTTAGGGTTTAGGGTTTAAGTAGCCTAAAAGGGACCCTAATATTCGGGTTATAGTACTTATAAGTCTATAAAGTAACCATTTACTAAGTCCCCCGACCCTCCAAGTAGGGTTTCGTCTCAATCTCCTCGACTCCTACTTGGAGGGTCGGGGGACACAGTAAGTTTAGGGTTTAGGGTTTGGGGTTTAGGGTTTGGGGTTTAGGGTTTAGGGTTTTGGGTTTAGGGTTTGGGGTTTAGGGTTTGGAGTTTGAAGTTTAGGGTTAAGGGTTTAGGGTTAAGGGTTTAGGGTTTGGGGTTTAGGGTGTAGGCTTCAGGGTTTATAAG